CAGATGGCCCCGCCCCTCCCTGAGCCTGGTTCTGCCGGAGGTTTCTTCCTGTTAAAAGGGAGTTTTTCCTTCCTACTGTCGCCAAAGTGCTTGCTCATAGGGGGTCATATGATTGTTGGGTTTTTCTCTGTATCTACTGTACAATATAATATCACCTTGGGGCGACTTTTGTTGTGATTTGGCGTTATATAAATAAAATTGAATTGAATGTTTTAGTCAGCCAAGAGAGATCAAAAACATTAAATTTAGACTGTATTGGCTATGGCCGGTGTGTTTCTATAACTGTCTGGACTTGATCGGCCCTTGAGTTTTTTCCCATCTGTGGAATGCTGCCAGTCTACTGTTCACCTCAACTGTCAACATGGGTGAAAAGCATGCACTTTTACTTACTCTGGAAGAGGATATAAAACTTTGTGAGGACTGTGATACGGGTCAGTAATTCAGAGAAGCTAATCTGACCGATGAAAGCTGAACTGTCCATAGTGCTGCTGATTTTGCTACTGTTAACTGCTGTTAACCCCTGTTAGCTGTTGTTAGCTGCTGTTCCCTAGCATTAGTGATACTTTCTTTGAAGTGGATGTAACATTGTTGTTTTAGTTTAGTTTTAGCTAATGATAATAAACTTGTTAATTATACACTATTTTTATTTGTGAGTACTGTACGTTTACCATGGGAGCCTATGGAGACTGTGCCTCCAGCAGCCAGTAGAAAAACTCTTTTTGTTCCCTTTATATAATTTACCTCTTCAAAACAATTGTTCCAGGTTAGATTTTTGTTTGGGAACTCAGCCTTCAATTTTTAGTGAGGCTTCATGGCTTGGGCGCTTTGACTAATTAAAGCTACAGCCTATTGTGTCTCCTAGGACTGACCCGTGCTAACTGGTTTGAGTTTAAGCCTTCTATAAAAATAAATTAGCTGATTAATATCATGAGACATCGCTGCACTAATTAGGAGACATGTGTCTGTGAGTTGTACCCTTATAGTTTATGGATTCTAACCAAGCTTGCTGCCATTCGGTTGATAACTAAGCGCTCTGCCTTCTTGTCGAAATATGGCCACTGACTCAAAATGATGTCATAGTATACATAGTCTATGGTTAGGACCTGGTCAGCATTAGGATACAGTCACTTAAGTTATGCTAAAATAGCAGTTACACACTTGTGGGAACAGAACATTACCTTCTGACCTAAAAATGACTTCACTGTCTGTAGATTTCTTTTGTACAGCGTAGCTCGGTATGTATAAATAGCACAGCTGAAACAAAATGACAGTTGCTGTATCACATTTCATTTCAAATGTTGAGTACAAATCTGCTGCAAGCCCTTGTCTTTCAGAGGCAAATTGGTTTTCCTGTATGATGCTGTGAGATATTGAAATGTCTGGAGAGAAAAGCTGCAGCGATATACACTAAAAATTACTTGTCGCCATAGCTACCACCCACTAATCCCTGCTGAAAGCCCAGAAAGGATCAGCAGAGCCCGGCATTGTCCTTTGATTGACAGAAGACGTACATGAATCTGTAGCATACACTGTGTGACTCCCAGCGATGTATTGTTTTAAATCAGCATGCTGTAGCAGCACATGTGTGTGAAGAAGCTGTTGTTCCTCTTTAAGGGTGACATATTTACCCGGTGTCAGAGAAAAGTGTGTCTTTTTGCCACTCAGCACTAACTGAATGCAATAATTACAGGTTGCAAAAAGGCTGCACAGACATATTACAGAAAAAGATGAACAGAGGATGTAAACAAACTCCCGGCTAGGTGCACACAGCAACACAACAGTCAGGTGCAGAAAGTACTAAAGTTGCTGTCACACCCATCAATCAGTGAAACCTGCTTCATCCTCCGCATGGTGGGACCACAGCTAACAGTGTGAGAGAGACAGGGTGAAAGGTTTACTTATTACAGATATTCTTAGACTTTACTTGAGAAGGTTCTGGTTTCTCACCAGATCTCAATCCATCAGAGCACCTTTGGGATGTGGGAGCCAACAAATCACATCAACGTGGACCAAAATCTTCATGAAGAAGAATTACTCTAAGGCAGTTCTGGAGTCAAAAAGGGTCCAACGCAGCGCTAGGTGTACACAACAAATTGTCCGTTGGATATATGTGCACACTTTGAAAACACTGGCTTCTCAGACAGTTATGAACCATTTCATATGCTAAGTGACGCAATACGATTGGCTGATTAGAAGTAATTCACTCCTTGCAGCCAGGGGCCATCTTTAGCATCTCAAAAACCCTCCAGTCAATTTGTTGTTGTTACCTGGGGAAAAAGTGGGCAGGGACAATCTGAAATGATTAAATCTGATTGGCAGATTAATGCATATTACTGAGAATGAGTTAATCTGTCATGCCCAGCAGCTTGGAGTTTCTTCCACTGATGGCACAGAGATACTTGCTCAGTAATAAAATAATGACATCCCACGGGTTCACTTACACACTCAAAACATCCTTCTTTCCTCCCATTCCTGTGACGTGTTCATGGTGCAGATGTAAATACAGGTGCGGTCATGGTACTCAGCATCTAGGTAGCATCTTTTTAAACACTGACTGCTGATTCATCTCATCCAAGTCAGCTTTGTTGTCAATACACTGACAGTCGGGTACACAGAATATATGTTGGTCTCCCAGCTGTTGCATAGGATTTATGATGTCCAGTACACACAGTGAGTCTTGTGCAGCTCTAACTGCTGTTTTGGCGATGGCAGTTCACTTAACCAACATGAGTGCCAATAATAACAAAAAAAAGAATAGCCTTAAAGAATAGATAAATCCTTTGTGGTGCCACTATCGCTAAGAACTAAACTTAACCTTTAAAATGGATCACCATTTTAATAAAAAAATCATTAAAAAAGTGGCAGAACAGCATGCTGGTGTAGTGCCTCAATTGTCAGGTGGAAGATCAATTTCATCCAGCCGCTCAGTGATGGGCGTGCTGAACAGAGCCAACTTCCTGAAGGGTCCCTTCGAGCTCCGGGCGGCAGTCACACCCTGTGACACAAAAATACACTATGACTTGGCGATATGGCCTAAAATCCATATCACGGTATAATTTGAAGCACGTGTGGTAACGATATATATCGCGATATATTCTTTTCTTCTGTATAACGTATTTTCCACACTATAAGGCAAACTTAAAATCCTTTAATTTTCTCAAAAATTGAGAGTGTGCCTTATGTATGAATTCTGGTTGTGCTTACTGACCTCAAACCGATTTGGGCGTGCAGAAATCTGTTAAAAAATGTTTTAGTACAACTTTAGTAAGCCACACTGCTTGATGGATTGTCAGAGCATTACGGCTGCCGTAGTGAGGAGCTTTGCGAAGTAATCTGGGTCCAAAACTCCATCCTGTTCAGGTCCCAAAGTCAAACGAACACTGAGAGTTAAAAACGGTCTAAATTCTTTCATCTTTAATAAAATCATCAGCGTTGCTGCTTTACCAGGTGTAACAATTAAGTTTAACATCCAGGCATCCATGAAAACAGAATTTATTAAATTTAACGGAGTTAGAAGTTAACAGGAAGTTAGCTCGCTAGTTTCCACCTAAACATGACATACCAAGTTCTGACTGAGAGATTTTTGAAACTAATTCAAATGTACAGCTCTGCTACCACTTCCAAAATAATGAAGACAGAAAACTAAACAGCAGTGGCGTTTGCAGGGTTACTGAAGTTGGACTACCTGGTATATAATGTTGTGCTACCTGATTGCTAGCGACACAGCTATGTTAGCATAACATTAGCACAGTGAAGCTGGAGGATGAACGCCAACTTTTTTTCCACTCGATAAAAGTTACCGTGAGGGATTCTGGTGGTCAGGGACAAGTGCAATCGCATAGCAGGATGCTATACACGGGCCAAACTTCAGTCAGGAGAACAACTGAGATTATTCATCCACATTACAAGATTAGTTATTAATATACTGCAATAAGATGGGAATAGAGAGAGAATTCAACATTACTGAATCAATGTTACGGAAGTGGAGGAAGCGCAGTTTTTGGCTTTACCCATATTTCAACAGTGCTTCATCTCTTTGCTATGCTTTCTACCAAAACAGGCGCCGCTTGATGACGTCATCAACATGCGCTATCGCGATAGAGCGGTATAGTCAAATGCTGTGTCCCAAAACGTCGGCTGCATCCTCCGGAGGCCGCATTTGAAGGCCAATTACGTCACAGCCAGGGGAGGAAGGCTGTCCCAATTCGTCGACTCCTTCAAATGCGGCTGACAAATGCGTCTTTCATTTCCCCGAATTTGAAGGATGGGTCAGGTGTGTCCTTTTTGACCCACCATATCCCAGAATTCATAGCGCGGCCCAGCCAAATTTCAGCTGCCAACAATGGCGGCCGCTACTAAGTTTTAAAATTACTCTTATTAATCTTTCTGGGTCACAAAATAAACTTTTAACATATTTTCAGAAAGTACCTGTGTAAATCAAATATCTGCTCGGTTTATCAAGATATCGCATATTTGCAAAGGTGCTTTGACGTTTTCGGAGACGTCTGCTACCCACCAGCTCGATAGCTAGTCGGGAGCTCGAGGGTCACTGAAGCCGCCGAGAACAGCACAACTCCCGGTACATCATTTTCAGATCACCGCGGACTTTCACTACTCAGGTTAAACGTAATATATAAGTCACTTAGACAACCTAAAAATGTTATTGTTGGGCTTTTTTCAGTGTTTTATTTGTGTCTTCCAATTTGAGTCAATCGGTTTGGCTGAGATTAAAGTTATTAGATTAGATTAGATAAAATAAAACTTTATTAATCCCCCTGGTGGGTTCCTCCGGGATTTTCACACAGCTGAATAAACGTTAAACAGAAAACTGATTAAAACAGAACTGTGAGACGGTCGAGAATTTACGCCAGTGTCCTGTTATATTTTAGGCTGTATCCCAATTCAGGGTCTGCAGCCTTAAAGGCCGCATTTTAAGGCCGATTA